CTGGCTATCCTGGAACTCACTGTGGGGACCAGGCCGGCCTGGAACTCAGAAATCCACCTGGCTCGGCTTCTCGAGGGGCGGGATCAAAGGCATGCACCAGCACCGCCTGGCTCATTTATGCAGCTCTGAAAGCACAACTGTGTGTGCATAAAATTCTACACAGCTTTAGCACAGATGTGGCTCAAGCACCGCAGGCCCCAGCTTGCCTCTCTACCTCCCGGCAACTCCTAGCAACCAGCAAACTGCTCTTCCCGTCCTTAAGATTGCTACATGAACAGCATTACATGGTGTGTAAACTTTTGAAGGATTTTTTTTAACAAAAAGTAAGAACCTGTTGTTTTGTAACAGAAATCCACGTTGTTGTATAGATTAAGTTTGTCCCTTTTTATTGCTGAATATTATTTCATGCTATACATGCACCACAGTCTCTTTAACCACTGAACATATGAATTATTTTCATTTTGGCTTGTTCTAGTTTGCTTTTCTGTTGGGAAGGCAAGGGTTGGGGTTTTTGTTTTGTTTTGCCTATACTTCCAGGTTATAATTTACCACTAAAAAAATGTTAGGGAAACCCCACCACCACCACCACCTTGTTTCTCTTGCTCAGCCAGCTTTCCTATACAGCCCAGGCCCACCTGCCCTCGGTGTGGTGCTGCTCACAGATGGACTAGCACTCACAGAAAAGCCTCGCCACCATGCCCGCAGGCTGCTGACTGAGGCAAGCCCCCAGCTGAGTCTCTCTCAGAGAACTCTAGGCTGAGTCTCTCTCAGAGAACGCTGGGCTGAGTCTCTCTCAGAGAACTCTGGGCTGTCTCTCCCTCAGAGAACTCTGGACTGTGTCAAGTTGAAGCTAGCTGGGGGTTTGAAGGTAATTGGGAACAAAGCTATGAATACTCACACATGTGTTTCTGTACAGAATTAGATGTTTTTCATCTCTCTTTTATAAGTGCCCAGAAGTAAAATTGCTACAGTACATTTTCGATTTTATAAGAAAACTACCCTGGACTGAGGATACAGCTCAACTGGCAGAGGGCCTGCCTAGCGCACAGGAAGCCATGTGTTGGCTCGCCAGCACCTATAAAGTGGTTACGGTGTCAGAGGGAGTGTGTCCTCCTCCACACGGGGAGGGAGAGGTCAGCCTGAGCTACAGAGCCTGACGCAAAACGCACAATAATATAAACAAACAGCACAGTCCAAATGCGGCATTCTTGCTAGTGCTGGGCGTTATCTTTATTTACTATTTTATTTTGACAGGTGTGCCATGACATCACCTTGTGGAGTTCTGCAGGATTTATAGGAAGGGTCCCAGCCTGGTCTGGAGCTCGGTGTGTAGGCCACGCTGCCCTTAAGTTCCCAGTAGTCCTTTGCCCCTGTTCTGGGATTACAGGTGTGAGCCACCATGCCTGGCCTTTCATTACAATTTGCTTTGTTTGTTTTTTGTTTGTTTGTTTGTCTTTTCTGAGACAGGGTTTAGCTTTGTAGCCCTGGCTGCCCTCGTAACTTGCTATGTAGCCCAGGATGGTTTCGAACTTAAGGCAATCCCCTTGCCTCAACTTCCTGAATGCTGAGATTACAGGACTTCATTACAACCTCCAACCAGCCAGTGTATTTTTAATTCACCTTTCCCTGATGTCTAAGGAGTCTGGACAGCCTGCCACGGCCTATACCATCTATGTGGAAGAAGTTCCACAAAATAACCAGCTGTTCATGCCCTTTCCCTGCTTTCTTCTTGGAGACCGTGCTGTTTGTAGTAGTTTGAGAACAGGTTCCTGTACCCCGGGGCTGGCCTGCAGCTCACAGTAGTCCTCTGGCCTCAGAATCCCAAGAGCTGGGATTATGGGATTATGTGCTAGCATCTTTGCCTTTTGTTTGGGACATGGGCTCCGGTAAGCTGTAGTGGCTTTGAGCTCACTAGAGAGACAATCCTCCAGCCTCTCGGCCTCCACCCTCACCTTCCCAGCGCTGGGGGGTTCATTTATAGTTTTTGATTCCAGTAAAATAAACTCTTTTCAAAGTTGTTCTTGCCCTAGTGAGTCCGTGTAACCTAGTAGTAGCTGGTAGGTTCCAAAGCCAAAGGAGGCTCTCCCACAGCATAGCTAATGACGTTGGACAAGCATATAAATATTACCAAATTCCTTCCCCTCACCTGAAAATGGAGTGGTGAAGACTAAATTACTTACTATTGAAAAATGCCCTGATCAGGCACACTCCTTTAATCCCAACACTCAGGAGGCAGAGGCAGGTGAATCTCTGTTAGAGATCAGCCGGTGCTACACAGTGAGACACAGCGAGACTCTGTCTCAATAAATAAAGTAAAGGGAAAAAAGAAACCTATCATTTTGTTAAAAAAAAAAAAAAAAAAAAAAACAGCGAACCCTAGTATTCCTTTCCTGAAAGAACTTACTTCCTGTTCCGGCAAGAAGGCAACTTAGGCACTGGGAAGCTGAATAGTTTTCTTGGCAGATATGACTCAAGGACCTGGGCTCCTCAGTTATTCTTTCATCTTCTGGTGCCATCATTGTCCTCTAGGTTTGGGGGGAATCTTTTCAGTTATTTGGTGGGAAAAGGAGAGGGAAGTGGAGCAGGGTTTGGGACTTTTCTGTAGCAGAGGCACCTCTGTCTCCCACAGGCCACAGAGCTGAACTCACCCACACGGGCCCACGTATCTGCCAGGGAAGTTAGGAAATGCGGTCTGTGTACCCAGGAGGAAAATAAACAAGAGCTGTCTGGCGGGAAATACTGCGCAGTTCTGTGTCACCCCGGGGGCGGAGGTGGGGGTGGTTGGGTGGGGGTGGCGGCCCTCGCAGAACAGGAAGTAGAGATGAGAAGGTCCAGGCAGCAGCAAGCACACGGGGTTCAGGGCAGGTTTACCCTGCAGCTGGAACAGAAGTACAGAGGTCCCAGTCTGGGCTCATTATGAAGATATCTTTCTTCTCTCGGTTTTCCAAATGGCGACTGTTCATAGAAAGGAAAACTATCTTGTAGTGAAATGTTTTTCAACCTTCATTAACTTTCATAGTTGGCTGTTGGTTTTCTAGTCGGATTACTGATTAGATCATCTATATCTAACGAAAAAGTCCTCCTCCTGGGGCCGAGGAGATGGCTGAGTGTGTGATGTGTTTGCCATGCAAGTGTGAGGCTGTGAGTTCAAGTCCCCAGGATCCACCTAAGGGCTGGTGTGGTAGCACACGCCTGTAGTTCCTTTGTCCCCATGGTGAGACAGGAGAATGACCACAAGCTTGAAGGCCAGCAAGCCTCGCTTATGCAGACAAGGCAGGTGGCAAAGGCCCGAACTCACACAGGGAAGCGCTCCTCTTCCTCCTGTGGGCATGCGCGAAGAGAGACAGGGTTTGCACGTTAGCGTTAGCCATGTTGGGCTAGCCTCGAACTTGGAGACTTCCTACTTCCATATCCAAGCAGGTGGTGTCCCTGTACGGTTCCCAGCTTCTTGGTCTGTTTGTGTGTTTTATCTTTGAGATGTTTATGAGCTACAGCTTGAGTAGACACAAATAATAGCAACAATAATGTAGACCAGATGTAAGGAAAATGTAGCTGCTGAAGTTGTGATTTATTATGCCTTCATTGCCACTTTTTTCTTTTTTTTTTTTTTTTAACAAACCAGAAATGATCCTGGAGTTTTACTCCCCCACATCTCTTTGGGGCAGGGCCTCAATGGAGGCTAGGTAGCCTGGGCTAGCTTTAACTCTGTGATCCTCTCCTCTCAGTCCTCAACTTCGATGGGCCTGGCTTTTCACTTTTTTTTTTTTTAAAGGGTTTCTCAACAGAAGGAAAGGAAATAAAAAAGGAAGTCGAATGCTTTTCATTTATTGTTTCATTGGAATTTTAAAATGATCTGGAAGAGAATAATGGTTTAATCATGTTTTTATTAGTTTCTAGGCATTGAGTTATATGTTTTATAATTATTTTCTGATTTTACCTTCATCAATATCATTGTGGTTTCTATTTTTACATTGTTGTGTTGTTTTCTTTTTTATTTATTTCTTGTTTCTGCCATTAAAAATGAATTCACAACAGATATCTACATTATGACATAGGTTTGTAGCTAACAGGAATGTTTAAAGATAATGTATAAATACAAATTAAATGAAAGAAAAAGTAAAAAGGGTTTCTCTGGGTAGCCCTGGCTGTCTTGGTACTTGTTCTGTAGAGCAGGGTGGCTTCGGACACGGAGATCCGCCTGCCTCTGCCTCCCAAGTGCTGGGATCAAAGGCGTGCGCCACCATTGCCAGGCTCCAATTTTCACTCTTTTGATTTGCTAATGTGGCGAATTTTATTTTTTGCCTTCCCATTGTGGGATCTTCTGCTTATTCTTAAAATAAGCCTTCTTCTGTTAGGCTGTGCCGCTCAATTAATGTAGCAGCGGATTTTAACGTGAACGTTTATTGAGGGATTTTCACATCCGCTCGAATAAATCTAATTCATTTCATTTTAACCGTGTTGTGTTACACCCCGGTTCTCTCTCTCCATGTGGCCAGGGCTCTGTTCTTAGTTCTGCGTTCACTTGGTAAAGTTCTTCTGTAGCACTCTGACCCTGCCACAGCCTAGGTAGTATTGGTGGTAATGTATCTATATGATAAAGTCTCGTTAGAATCCAAGTGTAGGAGTCTGAGGCAGAAGGATAGCTGCAAATTTCAAGTCAGCCTAGTTTAAATAGCCGTTTTTAGTCTAGACACTGTTTCAAAACATGAATCTGGACTTTACCTCCCCTCCACAGGTGATGGGCTTTAGTCTCCTACGCTAACGGGAACTTAACTCAATCTACAGTTGAGTTGAATGAACTTCTGTAGTGGCCTGTGGTTTCTTTAGCACAGGGACCATCCTACTACTACAGAGAAGAGCTGGTGAATACAGCAGACTGCTTCTATTTGATAAAACAGAGCTCACCCAAAGCATGGCACAGACATGAAACCCTTCTCTGTCACCTAACGGCTAGCAGTCCCTGCTCTCCAGCCCCAGCCATACCCTGTAAAAATAAAGTATGAAAAAAGGAATGCTCCAAGAATTTGCATGTCATCCTTGCACAGGGGCCATGCTAATCTCAGTCCTGTTCCAGTTTTAGTATATGTACTGCTGAAGTGGGCACTCCCAGTAGTGTGAGTGCGTGTGCGTGTGTGTGCGTGTGCGTGCGTGTGCGTGTGTGTGCGTGTGCGTGCGTGTGCGTGTGTGTGTGTTAGGGAGGGAACTCAGAGGCTCCAACCCAACATGTTAAGCAAGTGTCCTACTGCAGAGGTGACTTCACCCCGCAAAGCTCACTGGCAGCCTGAGGAGGAGAATCAGTTAGCCTTAGAATTTTTCCAGATAATGTGCTTTCTAGCTATGGCACACTCTGCTGCTATCGAAAGTCACCCCAAAGGCAGCTCTTCATGCTTGATACCCACTGTTTCCTGGAACCAAAGAGGATGGTTCTTTTGGCTGGTGCTTTCCTGGGGAGGAAGGCACCCAGGGCGTAAGAATCCTCTGCTTTCTCAGATGGACCCAGGTCCCTGTGATTGTGTATGATGCACCAAAGCCTTCAGAGATAGTGGTTAATAGATTTTACCACCAATCTAATTTGAATCTCAGCTTTTCTTCATACATGCTGTGGATGGAACCTTGGGTTGGTTGTTTTGTTTTGTTTTTTAGATTTTATTTATTTCTTTTAGGCATATTAACGCTCTAAGAGGGCAGTAGAGAGTATGGTTGTGAGCCACCATGTGGTTGCTAGGAATTGAACTCAGGACCTCTGGAAGAGCAGACAGTGCTCTTAACCACTGAGCCATCTCTCCAGCCCTGGTTTGGTTTTTTTAATGAGACAGGTTTGAGACTGGATTTGAACTCTTTTTTTTTGTGGAAGGGTGGATTTGGTTTGAGTTTTCAAGGCAGGGTTTCTCTCGTTTAGCTTTCTTTCTTTCTTTCTTTTTTTCAAGACAGGGATTCAGTTTATAGATGATTGTAGAGCACATGCCTAACATAGCGAAAGCCCCAAGTTTAAGTCCCAGCACCAAGGAAAAGAAAAGAAAAGAAAAAAAAAATTAAATTTAAAAATCACTTAAGCCGGGCACAGTGGTGCATGCCTTTAATCCCAGCACTCGGGAAGGCAAAGGCAGGCGGATTTCTGTGAGTTCAAGGCCAGCCTGGTCTAGAGTGAGCTCCAGGACAGCCAGGGTGGAGAGGGGAACCCTGTCTCGAAAAGCCGAAAAAGAAAGAAATTGTTATCTATTAATAAAGCCATTGTTGTGTGTGGATGCCGCTGTACAACGCTGTCATTATACGGTTGTCAGGGCACACCTTTGGGTTGTCCTCTCCTTCCACCTTACGTGGGTCCCTGGGATTAAACTCAGGTCACCGGTAAACACCTTTACCTACTGGGCCATCTCACTGGCCCAGCCCTTGGTTGAGACAGGCCCTTATTTTGTAGACTAGGTTAGCCTCAAACTCATGACCTCTCTGCCCAGCCTCCCCAAGTGCAGAGAATGCACTTCTGTGCTTGGTCATATTTAGAGTGTCTATGTTTGGGTGTGTGTGGGGGGTGTCTATGGTTGGTTTTTCTTAGTTTTGTTTTGAGACAGGGTCTTACAGTATATCTCTGGCTGACCTGGTGTAGAGCGTGCTGACCTTGAACTCACAGAAGCATGCAATATTATGCATGCTCAGATTTTGTTTATATAATTTTTTAACTTTTCCTAATTTTTGGTGTGTCTTAAGTATTTGATTCCTTAGTTCTTCAAACATTGGAGTCATTTTCTGTGCAGGTTCTTTAACTAAGCAGGGTTAGACCACCAGACATGATGGCGTAACCCTTAGGTCTCAGAGCTTAGAGGCATCAGCAGGCAGATCTTTCTGAGTTCAAGGCCAGCTTTGTCTACATATTGAGTTCCAGTCTAGCCAGGGCTATGCAGTGAGAACATGTATCACAACAAACAAAAAACAATAGGGAGGCAGTTCATTTATTGTGGGTTAGGAGTAAAAGGTTGCTTTAAAAATGCAGGGAGAGGGGTAAGCAAGCAGAAGACAATATGCCTCTCCTACCAGAAAGTTCTAGAATACGAAGTACATGTACTTATGGAGGAAAACTGATTTTTAAATTTTTATTTATTTTTACTTTATGTGCATTGGTGTTTTGCCTGCATGTATGTGTGTGTGAAGGTGTCAGGCCTTAGAGTTACAGACAGTTGTGAGCTGCCGTGTGGGTGCTGGGAACTGAACCTGGGTCCTCTGGAAGAACAGCCAGTACTCTTAAGCACTGAGCCATCTCCCCAGCCCTGGAAAGCTGAGTTTAAATAATTAAGAAAGAAGTGTTTTCATGTACCTTCCACATTTCTACCTTGAATGACTATTTCTCTTGCTAACATCTATGCCCTTGCTGTAAGGATTGCCCAAGACTCTTGCTTACAGCCTCAAATGGATATAATTGCTATTGTAGACTTCAGGAACATCCTAGCTTTTATCTAGGAATGGCAGCACAAGCCTGTGATATCAGCACTGGGAAGTAGAAACACGAGGAACAGGAGTTCAAGGCCAGCGAAGGCCACAGGAGCCCTTCCCCCCCCCAAAAAAAAAATCGCTTACAAATAGAAGTAATAAAAATCCCAGCTTGTAATTAAGAGGCAACGGTGACAGGGCAACTCTAAGTGGATTTGCATTTACAATTTAACTCTTTGGAAACAAAGCAACAGCAAAGCAGAATCACATTCTTATGTGTTCTTTTGTGAATGTCTTGTGATTAACTTATCACGTGACTCATGACCTATTAGAAGACATTTTGGAGACCCTGACATGAATGTATAGAACAAACAGCTACGGCAGTGCGCCCCTGTGACACCTCTTCTTAGGAGACTGAGTCACGAGGATCACGAGGTGGAGGCCAGTCTGGCCAACTAAGTATGATCCTATGCAAAATATAACAAAATAAAAAGATCTTGGAAAGCTGTTTGGTGTTAATGCACTGCCTTACATTTTTGAGGCCTCAGTTCAACCCTCAGTATCCAAAATAAATAAGGAAATAATTAATTACGTAATTAAAAACCCACAGTACACACATTCTTTATATATATGTGTGTATATTTATATAAAAGATAGCAAGAATTCAAGCCAAGACTACACAAACTTGTAAAGCTTAGAATACTTAGTAAGAAAAGAGAAATAAAGGCAGGATGGCTCAGTAGTTAAAGGCACCTGCTGCCAACCCTGACAACCTGAGTTCAGTTCCCAGGACCTATCTAGCATAGGGTGAGAAATGACTCCGCAGGTGTCCTCTGACCATGTGCATGCTGGGATAAGAGACGGAAAAGGAAGAAGGGACGATTCCTCTAAAGGAATTAAAGCGAAAGACAAAAAGTGTGTAAGGATAAGGGAGTCTTGAGTATGTTTATAAACCAAAGGAAAGCAGTAAGAAGGAGAGAGGACATCCAGGAATAACGAAGGACCTAGGGTGAACAAAACACACCAAAGCTACATGCCCTAGTTTGCTGTTTGTCACCGTGGTAAATGCCATGGCCAAAAGCTGCTTCCCTTGAGTTGCTCAGTTACTCTCCTCGCCAGGTTGGTTCTACCCATAGTGGGCTGGGCCCTCTCACAGAAGAATGCTCTACAGACATGCCCATAGGTCAGGCCGATGGAGGAGTTCCTCAGCTGAGGCCCCCTATTTTCACAAGTGTCATGGAGCTGACTGTGACAGCACATATTAAATTCTTGGGGGAAAGAAAAGTGGGAAATTCGCATTGAAAACAGATCATACAACATGGTCCAGGCTCTGTAAATAAATCAGGAAGCAAGCGCTTGTTAACAGTGAAGGTTAGAGTTAAAGGTGAAGGGACTTTGGTTAGAGCCTTCAGGAAAGCTGGAATAGGTTGTCTAGAAAACCTGCTGAGGGATGCTCAACAGAGTTAATTCAGGTTGTCTTCAAAGTCAAGTGGTGGGCCAGTGAAGAGCCCTGCCTAGACAGCAGTAGCTTTTTGGTAATATCTAGAAATGATCATGAAGTTGAGGCATCCCATAGCTCTGCTGAATGCCAGGAGTCACCGGGGATGGGGGGATTACTTGGAAAAAGGGAAGGGTAGAAACAGATTTGACTAATGGGCAGCTATCACATGAGTCTGTCAACTTCAGGGCATTCTGATTTCCTGTATCTGGAAACAATTTCCTAATCTATAATCTCAATTTTAATGCCTTTTTTGACATCAGAGCCCAGTTATCCAACAGCCTATAGAGCAGCTCTGCTTTGATGTAACATATGTTTTTAGTTGTTAAAATCAATTTCTTTTTATTACATTTATCTATTCTGTATGTTTGTGTGTGTGCATGTGTGTTTACACACGTACATGGTACACGTGGAGATCAGAGGACTTGGAGGTAGTTTTCCCCTTCCACCATGTGTGTTCAGGAATTGAACCTAAGTGCCTTTATCCATAGAGCCATCTCACTTGCTTCCTATCTTAAATACAATATATATATGTATATGTGTGTATATATATATATATATATATACACACACACATATATATATATACATATATATATATATATACACACACACACACACATATATATATATATAGTTTTTTGAGGCAAAGTCTCACCCTGTAGCCCAGCCTAGTCTCGAATTCACAAAAGCCACCTGCCTCAGAGTGCTAGGACTGTATGTAGCAGCCCCCACGATCCATAGACAGGTGCAGTATTTCCTCTTCCTCCCGCCCCTACTCTATTCCTGATTACCCCATTTCTGCTAATGCTGTTACTGCTATTCTATGCTCCCAGGCCTGAAACCTTGGCATCATCACGAACTTTTCTTCGTTCCTTAGTGTGCCATCACCCACACAGACATACTTGGATAAAGTTTAATTTGCAAAGAATGCACAAGAACAGGCAAACAATAATGCTTATGGTAATATAACAAAATAAATGCAATGTGGTCTCTCTCCAAGAAGGGGTAAAGACATGCTATTATTTTCGGAGTACAGGCAGCAGGTAACTGGAACCTTCGGGGAGCGAGAGCACATATGGGAGGGTTGCAGTGGGGTCATTTAGTGATTAAGCTTCTGCTTCCATTTTCCCCATTAGTTCCCCCTAACCCCAAGTCTCTGCCCAATCCAGTACCTACTACTG